TAAAAATAAATTGTCTTATTAATGAAGTATTATGTATAATATTATATTATAATTATTAATAAGATAATATTATATATTATATTATAACTATTAATAAGTATAATATTAACCTTTATTATATTATAACTATTAATAGATAATATTATATATTATATTATAACTATTAATAAGAATGATAGCTAATTATTCAAACTAAAAGCCTACAAAATAATTGACAGTAATAAAGCGTTTGGATCAGAAGTCACTTAAAATCATATTAAGTTAGAGTTCTCTCGTATTTTGTAGTGACTATATTCATTATCTGAACATTTGAAACTGCATTCTTGTATTACCCTTTGGTGTTATTTTTTCATAAAATTAAAAAAAAAAAAACTATTGATTTTACTATTAATGACACGAATTGATTTTAGCTGTAATTCAGAAAATTCTAATTTACAATCACTGATTATTACCTAGTATACAAGTATATTTTATAGCGTATAGATATTATCGTTTAATAAAATTAGTATGTCCTTAATTTAAGCAACATATTCTTTTTTTATTTATTGAGCAGCTGTAAATCAATTATAAATTCATTAATTATTATGATTTGATAAAGGAATGACTTTATAAATATTATTAAAAATGTTTTCACTAAATATTACAGTATTTTTATTTCAGGTTAAATAGTGCCAATGAAAAATCTACATTCATATACTCGTAAGAATATTTTAACTCGAAACAAATAAAATATCTACTTGAATGTATAATAACCATAACAGCCATTTAGTTATAAACGATTATTTAAATTATAAGTCATTAAAGTCTCAACGACTAAGTATATGAATAAAATAAAAGATAAGATAGATAATGAAATAAAAAATATAACTTTTTACGGTGCTTGTAGGTAAAATATTAAGCAAAAAGTGTTTAGATTGCTTACCGTTAAATTTAGCTATGTTTAAATATTATAATAATATAATTTTGTCGAATAAAAATAAACTGTTATTATTATTTCGTTCCAGTAATTTCTATGAGAAACTCCGCTCCGTTAAATACATTTCAAAGTTTGCAATTCCTTATTCGAGACATATTTAAGCCGCTCGTGAATTTTGTAAATATCCGTTTTCGGCATAAACTTAACGGCGTATCGTTTATACGCAGACAATGCTATCCCCGCTGTTAAATACACTCACAAAGAAAAAAAAAAAGAAATAATAATAAGTAATTTAAAAATAATAATAATGATAAAAACAATAAAAAATAATAATAAGAAGAAGATGAAAAAGAAACGATCGACATTAAAAATGCAAATAATAATAATAATATCATACCCAAAAACGAGTACCTGTACACCGGAATGAAGCACTCGTTTAAAGTACGTCATCGTTTTATTATGTATACATATAAATGTTTCGACCCCGTGAACGAGTATGTGGTGAATTTAAATGCGTTTTACGCAAATGTGTTCATTAACCGTACGGCAAAAAAAGAAAAATAAAAAAAAGAAAAACGATCGTTCTGCGCAGGTAATAATTGTTTACAGTTATCGTAACCGTCGTACGACATTACCGCACACATAGGTACACCGCAATTCCGGTGTCACGGTACAGGGTCATACGTTTTAATAAAATGGGCTGTATCACATCACGTCGGAGTTAACTATCGATTTTCGGTACACACGCGGCTGCGGGGGTACCTATCTCTGTTATCTGCGCGTACCCGCCCCTTAAAATATATACGAGGATTAGCCGACGGACGTAGACCGCGGCTTTCGAACACAATATTATTACGAACGGGGGCGATCGGCGTAACGGCGATACCGCGAGTAGCGTAGTATTACCGGTGACGTAACGACGGAGAAGACTTGCGGTACCGGGAGGAGGAGGGGGAGGGGCTGAGGCTTTGCGCGGAGTTTTCGGAAAATTTTAAAACGCTTTCGGAGTAGTTGTGTAAGCGTTTCACGTAAAACGTAAGCATGTATTAAAATCGTAATTCGTGTACGGAGGTCGGTGCAAAAGACTTAAATATATTTTCATACCCGCGCGCGCGCGGTATTAGCATGAAATACTTACGAGGGATCTTATAGTTATGCCTCTCGTTTATAACAAATTATCAGCCCCTTCCCCCGCACCTCCCTATCGCGAAAAAGCGAAATCCCGATCGCGTCGTCGGTGTACCGATATATTTTTTTTTCTTTTATAATTTATAATAATATCCAGACATTACGTTCGATTCGATAGTAATAATTATTATTCTGGTATCTCGGCGACTCCGGCACGGAATGCATTCGGTACGAATCATTATATAGTATATTGGATTATTACATCCACCCCCGGCGTCATTACTGTGGAATTTCCTAGGAATTCTGGGTTGGTTCATTATTATTATTATTATTATTATTATTATTATTATTGATACGGCGTCGTCGTACAATATAGGGGATGACGACGATGTCGTCGTACCGTAACCGCTCGTACGCCGCCGTCGTGGTGTAGGTAACGTATAATATGGCACCACCGAATACGATATTATGCGCGTCTAGACGTCGATGTTCTTATCTGGCGGAGGGTAAAAGTGATATTATGTTGGAGACGTAAAGAAAAAATAATCACGATGACATTAATAGTAGGCGCGCACACACAGAAATTATACGATAATATCACGTAATATATTATTGTTGCTATAATCGGGTCTCCGAGACGCCATCGCCATTCGGCCCGTCCGCGACGAGATACGAGATAACGCAACCCCCCACGGTAAACCGAATCGCCGAACGTATTTATAAAAGGCCAAACAAGTCTGTTCCGCACACCTAGTGATTTGCCGGACATCCACCATGAAACACTATTATTGGGCATCGTCGTTGTTGCTCTTCGCCGTCGTCCAGTACTCGGCCGTCGCGTTCAAGATACCAGGTAGGTACCCATTACGTTATTCGATAACCGTCGTCATAATACCTTAAGTCTTAATAGTAAATTAAACCTCAAACCGCAAATAATATTTGTATATTGAAATATCGTTATAGCGGTAGTGTTTGTCGCATAAAATTGTTTAATATTCTCTTGTATAGTTTAAAATCTTTAAAACTAATATTATATTAATGAAATTCGTCAATACGATAATATGGAAATTAACTGTCGAACACGACTATAGTGCGGTTCTAACAACTAAGTTAAAATAAGATTAGTGATTTTTGATTGAATTTAATAAAATTTTAAAACGTCTCTTAATACTAATAATACCTATGTGACAAGAAGAAAGCAAGATTATTGATTTAATTCATTTTTAAATATTATAAAAATATTGATTTACCAAATAATACATTTGTCAGATACAAACGATAAAATATCATTAGCATACAAGACACTTTTTAATTTATAAAACTGTATGTCAATTAATATAAATCAATACCTATAGTAACTGATTCGAAATTAAATTTTTGGTGTGCACAAAATAATCACTAGCGAAAAAGTTTCATACAATTTTAATACCAAAATTAATTTTTTTTAATGACAGTTTAATTAACTTTTTAACGACTTTCTTTCGGAAAATTAATTTTTAGTTGCATCACAATGGCTCAAAAAACAAAAAAAAAAAACTTTACACAGAGCTGAGAGGGTTTGAACCGAAATTCCAGTTTGTGTGAAATATTAATTTATTATTATACGCCATTCGGGCTTATTCTTTTATAATTTAATCGAGTTCCGATGAAAATAACTGTTGACAAATGTTATTATAGTTATAAGTCAACAGAAGCCTTATGTATTATTAAAGTTCAACTTTGAATACAATTAGTTTTTTTTTTTTAAATAATATAACATAATAAACATCGTTTATTGGAGTATGAAATTAAATAACAAAATAACAAGTTATATTGTCATATAATTATTAAACATTTCTTCCTGACTATGTTGATGTTTTTTTTTAATATTTATATACATGAATCGACATTTTAATGAGTAGCTTAAATGTTGTTAAATACCAGGAACTATAATAGTATATAATATATCACAATGATAGGTTAATAATACAGTATATAGATAGAGATGTAAGTTATTATTATACATTGGTATAGAACTGTATTATACAAGATATTAAACACATAGTATACAATTATTTTATACAGACGGCATAAAAAAAAAAAAAAATAAGACGTTATTTTTGTTTATTATTTTCATAAATAATATATTTTTATTGTTTGCTATTATCATTTATAATTACAATATGTTTATTTCGCATTCATTTGTTATAAATGACTTAAATCAATTGTACTACTATAGTTTTGTAAATATAAGTACAATGAGATAGTATATAAGTATTAATTATGGTTTTCGATTTATTTATATTAAAAATTCAATATAAAAACAGATACCTTTGTTTATTTAAACTTTTTAAAGATAAAATAATTTTTTTCACTTCATTTTTGATATTAAATTTAAGAAGTACTTAGTACTTACAAGAAGTAAAAAATGTGAAACCAAAAAGTTAGTAGACAAATGTATTTATTAAATGTAACTATATAAGGTACAATAAGGTAACTAAAATCCTAATTTACTTTGAAATTTACTAAGAAAATGTATTTGATATTTTAAGAATATAATTTACTATGAAATATGAACTGTAATTAAAATATTTTAAATTTAAATCATTTCTAGCCACTAGATATATTAATATATGATAAAAGTATATCATAATTATTGGTAATATGACTAAATATTAATTTGGTAAATTTGATCTAAAATAATACTCGTATTATGTATTTTTTTTTAATGTTTTCTTACCTTAAGCCATTTTTTAATTAATTAATTTTAAAATGATTCATATTTCATCATTAATAATGGTTTTATAATCTGTAGTAAATTTCCAATAATTTAAGATACCATAAGGTTCTATACAGTAGGTATAATACTGGTATTTTAACATATCTATGTATAAAGACTTCATTAATTAAATAAATGCTTATTAATTTGTTAAAATAGTATAATTCATAAAAATGAATTGTATTATGATAAAATTAATAATTTTCGATTAAATATTATTTTTTATTATGCAAAACCATTATAGAGATCTAAAATAGTATATCTAATACTATATCGCTTGAAAATAGCGCATTAGAATTTCTTTTAGATACATCAACATTTTATTAAAAATCACCATTAAATAACGTTGTCAATTTATGATACAGATTTTTTTTTTATTATCAAACAGTGTAAGCAAACATTTTAATTCTTTTTGTATATAATTTTAATTAAACTTAATGATTATAAACAATTAAGTTACACTTATTTAAATTAATTTATTTTATTATTAATGTCATGTCTGTTTATACAATAACATACAAAAATAACAGTGTGTATAAAATTGGATAATGGACGGCGGTACATAAATTTTAGTTTAATAAACTTAAAAACTACTGAATTAATTTTTACGTGGTTTTTTGCAAAACAATCTTTGTTTTTGGGAAAAGGTTTATAACCATTGAAATCCTTCAACATCCCTCATAAAAAGAAAAAACAGCTTTTAGATATTAAAGAGAAATTGAACATATATTTATTATTTATTTACTCGCGTCATCTAAAATTTAATGTTAACGTTAGACAACCTAATTTAAGATACATACATTTTTTATGGGTACCGAAGTGAACGGGAACAGTTATTTAATAACATATTATAAAACCGTATTCAGTACAATACACAAAATATGAAACGTTGAATGATGTTTTAATCATATTGTCAACTTAAATCACTGAATGATGGTATTCGTATCAAGCGCATTTTAATATTTTGTTTTTAAAACCACAGATAATTGTGTATCGTTAAAAAGCAAGGTTGAAGGTAATAAAAGATATTATTTATGTAAGGAAACGTCAAACTGTATCATTTGGTCATGTGCTTTGTGACTTGATAACTCAACGTGACGTTATTCTGTTCGGTGAAGCTTGAAATTTAGTAGGCAAGTCGAATAAAAAAAAAAAAATTCATCTGGTGTAAAATACTAAAATATACCAGACATGAACTATTTTAAACCGTGTACATGTTTACCCTTAACAAGTATTTTTACGTTGAACATTTCCTTACTTCTAAGTGAAAAGCTTTTGTTCTCGCAATATTTTTACTAGACTTACAATAATACTTCTCGATTTCAACAATTTTATTATTTGATAAATAGGCCGCTGGCACATTTCTGACTGTTCTTTTTAAGCGTAATGTTATTGATGTTACGTCATTCGAAAAATAAAATTTTATGTATTGCTACTACACGTACATGGATCTTTTTTTCACTAATTACATTTGACTTGCGTATTTCAAGTTACAAACAAATTTCGTTTCTCTCAATATCAAAACAATGATCCCATAATATTGTTGTTGTTTATTATATCTTCGCTCATTTCAAATTGTTCGCGTTTTCTACACTGTTATAATTCGCATTCAAAATAGGAGCTCCCGCGAGGGATCTCTAGGCTCACAAAAACCAATAATATTTTTTGATTGTAGAGAGTCCCCATTGACTTCATAAAACGAAATCGACATTATGATTGGTTATAGTTTTAGATCGGTGTATTTTATATTTGGGCAAAGCTACCAGAAATCGCTATATTAATAATCTGTGCACTTGATTCGAATATAACAGATTTTAAGACTATTTATCTCGCCACGGACAACGCTGTGTGAGAGATCAGCTAGTATGTCACAAATTATCGTTCGTAAATGATTAAAAATAATAATTTATAAATAATCTTAGTGTAGCGGGTGGCGCCACTTCAACGTCTTATCGCGATGTTTTACGATACGTTCTCACATTAAACTTGAGGCCTAGACGTAAAACCATGAACTATCAAGATGACGTCCGATGAGAACTATAATAATTGTATTTCTATTACCGCATTTATTCCGTAAATCGGTAACGACAGTCAGCCGATACCGTGAACCTAATGTAGGAAGATCGAAAACACAAATGCAAACGACACAAACACACAGTATCAAAAGAGTTTCATACGTCGTATACGACTAGCATACGTAATTCGATGTCATTCGTCCTCCTCTCCTCCCCCTCCCTCAAAAACAAAAGCTCGGTGAACTCGTTCGGGTTGAAAATCGTCCGCGTGCCGGATCGGCTCGCGTCTGAAAGTTCACCCGTCCGATTTCCTTCACGCAAAAACGTTACCAAACCTAACCAATTTTCTCTCTGCATTTTTTCCAGGATTATCGTCGAGCTCCTCCAACCGTTCGCCACCACCGACGGCCGGTAACAGGGCGACCGCGGCCAATGTCGGCGGCCACAGGGGACCGGAATCCGAATACATGGGACCGGTGTTTATAATCAGAGAACTGGACAAGGAGAAGGGCGAGTACGACGCGTTCGTGACGACCGGTGGCATACAGGAAGTGCGTCCGCCGCCGATGAGCGATCGTTCGCTTCCACCACAGCACGGCGGCAATCATCAGACCGCGGGTAACAGGGACGACGAGGACGCCGAGCATTTTGGTGTTCTGGTCACACCGGAAACGGTCAAGCGGCTGAACGGAGACGAGAAGCTGAGGGCGTCGTCCATCAACGTGACCATGGCCGTGCTCCTGTCGGCTGCCTCGTCGCGGATGCCCTGGCTCCTAGTCCTGCACCGCAAACACTATCCGCACCTGTTCGAGTACCAGCAACAGCAGCCCTCCCAGCCACACCAGTACCAGGTGCAACACCCACCTCACCAGCAACAGCAATACCAGCAACAGCAATACCTTCAACCGGCGCAGTCAGACACTGTGCAGACGGACGGCGTCCCGGGACTGCAGAACCCGCAGATCCCGCAGCGCCGCCGGTACCAGGCGGACAGACAGCGCCGGTCCGTCCTGCAGTACGACGACGCCCGCACGCTGATGGCGTACGAGAACCAGCTGCTATCCACCATGTGCTACAACTTCGTCCGGGACTACTACTCGGCCGAACAGCCGCCATCGAGGCGACTACCGATCGCTCTGGCCGACGTCGCCGATTACGGCGACGACAGGCGGCAACCACCAGAACCGGAACATTACGGCCGGTATCGGCAGGACGTCTTCTTGGACGCCGACGCTTACGCAGCCGCGGCAACCGCGGGCCCTTCCAATCGCATCCAGAAGTCGTCGCAGCCGCCTCTTCCTCAGCCGGTGTCGTCATCCATGACCGCGGACCGGCCGGGAGAGGAGCAGCAGTCCGCCGACGGATTGGTCGACGGCATGACGATCCCAAAACGCGTCTCATCCTAGACTCGAACCGTCAACCACGGCGAGGTGGCAGCGTCGCGTTTTTATTTTACGATTTTCTGTTTTTCCTCGTTGCCAGTAGCTTAGTACACAGTTTCTCGCCGGAAATCGCACCCGTGCGTTTCCCCAGCGCCGACCCCCCCTGCGCATATTATTATCATCAGCTGTTATTCGCTTATTTTTTTCTATTCCATTTATCACGTCACCACCGATAACATATTATTAAGGCGTATAATATTATATTTTGTCGTGTCTCGTCGTCGAAAATGTTCATTACGATATACCTATAATATTATTATAATAATTATTATTGTATAACGCGCGATTATAATACTATTAATATGACTAATATATATATATATACATGCTATACGTAAATTAAACTTTCTATATATAATACTATGTACATTGATATGATGTTTTTGATTGTTAACCCACTGTTTCATAACATGAACCAAAGTCGATGATTTAAAAAAAAAAAAAACTAGAATTATAAGTTTTGTGAATACGAATTGTCAATGATCACTAAATATTGATATTATTTATAGCTGCCGTTCAGTTCATTAAATTATGAAAAATTGAGTGTCCTGAATGGCAAACTGCAAACAGGAAACTCGTCATGGATTTTAACAATTTATAACTAAACACGTTACAAACACTCTGAGTACATATATATATATATATATATGACAATTATTATAAAGTTGTTTAAGTACCTATCCAAATTTCCATACAAAGCGTTTGTCATAGTGAAATTCTAAAATCAGGCTTGTGTCATACAGATATTATACATATGTTGTAATTAAAATCATATTGATTGTTACTATAATATAATAATATATTTTATTTTTTTATTAATTAATAATTATTATAATCAATATCAGTATATAAATATATTATATCAATACCACGAAACTATTATTTTATAGTTTGCTTTTATTTGAATTGAATTATATCATGAGTTTTGATTTTTGTAGGTAGGTATATTGAACGTTTAAAGTAAGTATACTATAAGTGTTAAATTTTTTTATTTTTTTTGGTGGTACATAAATGAGTTATTTGCTGTTTAATAATAAATATAGAAAATTATGTTCCATTATTTAATATATGTTATTTTTTAATTTATTTGAAATAAAATATGAATTATTTATGTTTATTTATCTTAGACATATTACAATATTTTATAATTTATAAATCATACTTTGAATAAAATTGAATAATCTTTTCTAAAAATTAAATAAAAAATTTTAATTTTAAAGTCCAAAGTTAAATGGGATTGATCCAAGATACAAAGTTTTCTTTATATTTAAAATACACAACCAAAACGAGTAAATTAAAATGCAATAAAATTAGGTATATATATTGTAAATTATATGTATTAGCTAATTTATTTGTTGGATGAACATTTATTTAAGTTGACATCAATGTATCAATATTCTACTTCTTATTTTAAATAAAACTACAGATTACATAAAAATAGGTCATATAAAAACTACAATAAATTGTGGCATTAAGATATATAGTTTCCATAATTACTTCAAGTTTCGATCGCAAAGTTCAAGACCAGCAGTAAAAGGGTTTCTTAAATTATACAAGCTGAAACATTTAAATCAGTAATAACTTTATTAATATTTATATTTTTTTTTTCATATTCACGTTTTTTATATTCATCTGGTTTGGCATATAATTATAATTTGTAACTAATAACTTATTGAATTAATTTAATTAAATTTTATGGCGAATACAGCTGTTTTCAATTTTAAGAAATATTTGTATCCTATAAATTATAATAACTCTAAAATTAAATGCTTTTTACAGTATTGTTCTTGACTATTTGAGTTAACTTCTAGAGCAGTTATCTTTAGTTTTTTGATTTGAAGTTTTCTATTTTTTTTTTTTTTTTACAGATTAAAATATTAGTATTACTTAACATTTAATTTTTATCGAGCATATATTTATTTAATTTAAAAAAAATGTATGTATATTTTCCTTGAAAATAAAAAAATATTTAAAATATATTCGCCAGAACAAAAAAAAAAACTTTTTTTTGTAGATTTAATTCATCATAAATTACAGTAGGTACAAGTAATAGTAACAATAATACAACTACATCACATTATAATATGAAGAATATTCGTTTCCATTATTATAGCTATTTAATACATCCCAAAATGTTAGGTTATATTACGCAATATTTTGTCATAACAATTTTTTTATTAATTAATGATTTGAAATTATATCCACATTAAAAAAAAATATTAAAAAATATTACATATTTTATTGTATACTATGCAAATAGTTCGAATTTCGCCATATTTTATATTATTAGAATTAAAGCGATTATGAAATAATGTTTTAAAAACATTATCATCTTTATAAATGTGTAAGTTTAACTAATAATCTAAATATATTAAAAATAACTATAAACAAAAAGGCCACATAACTTATTTCAAATAATATATTGACCTAAATGACATCAATATTAAAAATATATCAAATCAATTAATCGTTTCCACGATAAGTCAAAAACTTTAATAATCAACTATATTATGTACTAACCTAATATTAAACTATAATAAATATATTAAATTAATAACTAATTTTAATAGAATGAAAAATAATTAGGTAATCAAGTCAAAACTGTGTAAGAACATACCACGAGTATCATATTATTATAAATAATATAATGTTTTTGTAACAACTAAAGCTAATAATGTATGTATTAAGTGTGTAACTATACATAAAATAGAATAAAAAATAAAGAGAAACTAGAAATAGTAGCATGTATTTATAGAATGAGATGCTTTTCTCTCCGATGGCTATTTTCTACCATTATGTGTTCCAAAAAAATATATATTCATAAACAAATATTTTTTTATAATACGAAAAAACACACTGTATAGTAATTATCAAACAAATTTTCACATTGATTTTAAAGTTACTATAATAATTATAGCAGCTAATAGCTCAAACCCAACTAATCAATCAACCACATAAGGGTGATAATACGATCTTCCAGATGAAAATAATACCGATCGGACGGCTATAAAAGTAAGTAAAGTAAACACTACGAGATACCCATGCATTTATGATACTCTTTAAGTTTTAATAGGATTAAACTATAAATTAGTATCAGTATGACAGTAATATTTCTTATTGAGCAATAATTATAAGTAAGAATTAACTTTAAGTATTAGAAAATATCACTCATAATAACATCAGATAAAATCATTTATGATGTATGTCTCAACAATAAAAAATTATATTCTGCATCAAACTTTTTAAATCGCAAATATCTATTGCTATTTATAAAATATATAATTTTGTTTATTACCACATATATTTTAGTAATATATGTTTATATTAAATTTCATTTTAGAGAAGCATTTTATCTCTAGGGTGATATATAATTTTAACAACGTATTTTGCATTTATGATGTTAACAAATAATTGTAATTTAAGAAAATTTGAATGGCGAAGCAATGGCGTATTTACAGTGGGGGGGGGATCCAAAGGATAAATCTCCCCATAGGCTGTATATACACAAATAATTATAGTTATCATATTACTTAAAAAGTTATTATTATTACTTTTTTTTTTTTAATCAATAATTGATTAAATTTGCAAGAATTAAAATATTATAATATATTGTACAGTATTCTCATAGGTATCTTTATTTATAAAGTCACATCTTCCCCCATGCAAAAAACCTAAATACGCCACTATGGTGAAGGGATTCACTGGACTATATTCATATTATTCACCATTCTCAAATAAAAATCCTAATTGTTCAACTGACTACAAAAGCACTAACAGTAAAATAAAAATCGAAAATATATTCTACTTTCGATGACGACAAAGAGCTATCAGATATTTAAAATAATTTATTATATGCAAGATAAAAAATATATGTATGTATGTGTAAGGGTGTAAGGTTCTAATACGCGTTGAAGTGGAAGTAAGTTTATATAGTATCATGTACGGTATAGGTAGCTATGTAATACACATCATGTATATTGTATATTTATATATATTTTATTCCCTTGTTGACAGTTATTACTCTCTCGTATCTATCACCAAAAGTACCTTACCTTATTTTAGAGATATTTTGTTTAGCACTCATACAGCGTTCCAAATATAATACATGACTTTTGAAATAAAGTTTATACATTTATAAAAAACCACCCAATTCAAAATACCATTAATCTTGGTCGTCTATTCTTGTTGTTGCCCATAAAACATGGATAATGCATAATATTTTCTTACGTATTTATCGATACAAAAAAATACTAATAAAAATATCCAGCATAAAATTTGGTTCCGCCTCTACTGATTTAAAAATGTTACTTACCCGTTGAATAGTCGTAGTTGTTCTGTTAATAATTATAAGAAAGGTGTTATAACAATAGTTATTTTAGTACGAGCATCGTATTGATAAATTGAACCGAAATTATTTAACAAGCATTACCATCCTTCATCCCAAATACACCACTTTATTCACTATAACACAGAGAATAGCGATTATCATTTAAAAATAGTAAAGTAAACTGATATAACTTAAAAATGTAGAGTATAAATAGCATAGATATGAAAATATGAAAATTAAGAAAACACATAAATATAACATCACTCCCAAAGGAATTCTCACATTCCTAATTAATTATCATATTTTATTCCTATACGCAATATTTCGACCCTCCCCACACTTGTGATTTTTTGTTTAAATGTTTATTATTTATATTTTACTATACATTTTATACACACTATCAATTAACAAAAACGTAAATGGTACTAACGAAATAATATTACGTCCTTCATAAACACATGTCGGTATTGTCAATCTGAGTTCCAACATTTGATAGATAAAGTTTTTTAGTGAATATAAAACTAATTTTAAATAAAAATCTATTTTATGATTTGAATTACAAAAAATTAACTTTATACACAATTTAAATTTTAATATTTCTACACATACTAAATAATATTACAAATTAATATATTATGCATTATTTTTTTTTTTACGTACACCATTTTAAAAATATATTATAATTTTCAGTCATCTATAACGTTAATTTATGAATTTGTATTGACATACATAAAGTTATAATATGTATCTAATGTATGTGTTATTGTTTACGTTTAAATTTATAGATTATAATAATATATTTTTTATTATATGTATTTAGACTTTGATATATTTAATTGGGTCCTTTTAATACATTATTTATGTAATTATATTTAAATGGAGAGATTATAATAATATTTAATTTTAATTGGTATTATAGAGTATAACTATTATTATTGTTAAAGTGAATATTTTAATAATTGATTTATTGTATATGCATCAAAATTGCATATACAAAACGCCGTGTTAC